TCAGCCTTGGCCTTCGCCTTAGGTGCTGCCTTCTCCTTGGGAGTGGCTTTAGCCTTCGCTTTCGGATTGGCATCTGGTGCAGCAGCAGTTGGATTTGGTGCAGGAGCATTGGGTTTGCCACCACCTGCAAAGTCTCTTGCGTACTTCTCTCTAGCGGCCACATGCTTGTCTTCTCTGATCCTGGATATGTGCCTTTCGATGACGTCCAACAGGTAACGATAGCTTCGTCTTTGATCTCCTTCAATCCATGATTCGTACTGCTTGATGTCGAACATCATGAGACTCGAATTTCGAATCTTCTTGTATAGAGCGTCACGAAGCCAATCATCAGGAGGTACATCATCCGGCATCATATTTGACACCATCTCCATCCACTTCTCGTAGAACACTTCCAGGTTAGAGTCACCGAGGTACTTCATCGATACGATGTGCTCCATGGTGAAGGCTGTCTCTCGTTGACCTGGTGTCCTGAAGTGTTCCAGAATCATAGCCAAAATTTCTCGTCCCATAACATAGGTCCCTCTTCGACTATGACTCTGTGTTCTCAATCTCAGTTTAATTGCTACATGACGAGCAACATCACCGGCTTGTGCTATCACGTTCGACAATGCGATTGACAACTTCGCGTCGATCGACTGATATCGTTGCCCACCACTGTCATTCAGTAGCTCGATGTCTGGATTTGGCCGAATAGCCGGCTGTAACCATGCTTCCCATGCAGCTTTGTCTCCATCATTCGCGGCAAGAACAACACCCTTGATGAGATCTGACTGCCAAACCCCAAGGTTCTGTTGCTTCGGCCATGGGCTAACATAGACTTTGTCAGCCTCCCGCCTTGACATTCTCGGTACTTCTTCTGCCGCGTACGCCGCTGTGGAGATATCATCTGCTGAATCGCGTTGTGATCCTCGAACCGAAGGCAAACCAGGAGGTTCTGGAGGTTGTCCTGGACCGTTGGGCCCGAAAGGATCAGGAGGCCCATCAGGGTCAGGCGGACCGCCCCATCCGCTCGGAGGCTTGTAATAGTCCTTCTCAGTTCCATCGGCGATCTTGTTGTCAACTTCTTTCAGCAGATCGGTGATTCTTTTGTTCGATTGAGAAGGTTGCTGTTGAGAAGATCCAGCATGTCCGCGATAGGATTGAGCAGCATTTGTCTCGTAGGTCAACTCCTTGTCGATCTGCGATACCCAAGATTTTAGGATAGCGTTCTCAGAGTTAGCCTCACTCACCTCATTCTCCAGTTTGTCGATGACCAGTCTTGATGCGAGATCATAGTTGGGGATACCTGCCGAATAGGGAAGCGCATCAGGGTTGACCCTGGACATAGATGTTTCAGAATCCTTGAGACTCTTTCTCAGTTCATCTATGTGACGTTTCATGTCAATAATCTCAGAATTCTTGATACCAATCTTTTCATCCCTATCCTGAATTTCCCCCATGAACATGCATGATCTCTCATATTGCTGAACACCACTAGCCAATTTCATTTTGCGCTCACTTTCTAGTTCAGATCTTAAAGTTCGGACTTCAGCATTGGAGAAGGACGACGCCCCTACATCCGCAACTTCAGTCAATCTTTCTTTTAACAACATGTTCTCCTGTAAACATTCATGAACTTCATGGTCTAGATCCTGAACCCTGATTTGAGCGATTTTGGCTTGGTTCCGTAGATCCTCAACAAGCATCTCATCAGGGCCACGACCGTCGGTCGTAGTGCCCTGAGTCAATGATCTTCGCAACTTCACGTTCTGCAATTTGATCTCATCCTTCAATTCACAGTTCATCTCCTGCTCGTTGGCGTAGAGCTCTTCATAGTGCTCTGCCCTTGCGATCGCATTTGCACTAGCTTGTGATTCAAGCCTCAGGTGTGATATCGCTTCGGCCTCGTGGTTCCTGTATGATGCAATTCTTCTGACAGTATCATGTTCAGTGTTTCGGTGCTTCAGATCACTTTCCAATTTGGCCTGATTTGCCTCGAAAACCTTCTTTCTAGATTCTCTAGTGATCTCTTCAATACTGCTTTCATACAACTCGGCCTGTTTACGAGACTGAACTAGAGCTTCACTCAATAGCTGATTCCGTTCAGACAATTCATGAACTGCAATTGATTGTTGTTGGCTAATCATTTCAAGTTGATTGCTTGAGAAGGATGCCATTTCGGATCGATTACGATATTCCATGATTGAGTTCTGGAAATCCGTCTGCATTTCTTGACCTTCAGTGTACAATCGGTTGGCAATATCGGTAGTCAAGACATTGGTCTGATGAAGTTGTTGTAGTCTTGCCTCCGTATTACCCAATAGTCCTTGAAGGTGATGTACTTCATCCTTGTACTCTTCCTGGATCTCCATACCGCGTTGATGGATCCGTCTTGCACCATGTTCCATCAGGGCACCCCGGCGTTCAAGGTCTTGGATGCGTATTGTTGCACCTTCGTCTTCCTGAGATGCTACCATTAGTTCTGCTTGATACTCTGCAACCTCATTTGCGGAACATAACAATCTATGATTGAGTGCATTGACCTCATCAAACACATTCTGGTTGTGTTCCTGAAGATATTCAGTGAATCTGATCTCGATGTCATGAATCAGTTGATCTCTTGATGCAGCATATGCTTCCATGTTGTTCAACTGATTACGTAAGGATTGACATTGTGCCCGTAGTTCTTCTACCATGGCAATAGGTTCACTAGCCACAGAAGTATCCGTTGATCTCCTCTTAACGCGAGTGTCCCCGGTCCTCTCACCAATTCGGTCGGTTCCGGCCCTGGTGGATCTGTCCCTTGGGGTAGTTCGTCCTCGAGATGGTCGGTGCCCTTGGCGGACAACATCACTTCGAGCACTGTTTCGAGAAGATCTTGGTGTACTTTGGGTGGATATTCTTCGTCTGTTTGATGTAACTTGCCATCCGGACTGTGTAGTTCGGGTAGAGCGTATCCCACCACTGTCTGCCGTGTCGCCAGGGGAAGATTGAGTGACCTCCTCGACCGGCATAGCAGTGTTCTCATTGAAGGTAAATTGCGTGTTGCGCGAGTCCCCGCTGCCGCCCTGCATCTTTGCGATGATGAGCTGATTGGTCCTTTGCGTCCACAATCTTAAGCTCTGACGGCCCGGCCACCAGCACGCAGGTACTCCTCTTCCGACGGAAGAAGTAAGCCCTTACGGCTGATAACCTGTGAACAATTTAATCCTTGTTCTGGATTATCCCTTTTGATTGAAATACCCGTTGTGCTGGTAATGCTGGGCAACGTCACGGCATGGCACTCGGAGACCGATCTTTTTCCTCACGCATGATCTTGAGCCAAAGTAATTGGCGGTACATGCATACTTGTTTCCTACCCTACATGCTCAGCATGTTGAGTGACTGTATGGTCTAGTTCCCTTTCGCATATATCATATCCCATGAATATCCCATTCTATGTCCATGAATTTATGAAAAATATCCATCGCGAGTTTTCATTTCAAAGCTGCTATGGCTATGAATTTCCCCAGTGATTTCCCACCATGTTTCATGGAGATCTGTCTCGTAGTATCCATGTCCCACTTACGGAACTGTGGACAAGCCATCCTGCACCACTTACGGAACTATTGGTAACATCATTCCACACTTTCACAAATAATGGGATTCTGTTAGATATTTTTGGGGGGATGTTTACATATGTTTAACATCTACCAACATCTACCAACTGGGATCTGAAAAAACATCTACTATAACTGTTAGTAACATATTCCATTATAATCCATCAATGGTTTATTCCATCATACTTATAGTATCCCATTCTTACCATCAATTTCCATATAGTATGGAAAATACCTAATCTGATGGAAATTTCTATGAAAATAACTATGGTAATAGTTTGTAAACCATTATAACCCCCATTAACTAGTTCGTGAAATGTCAACCATAAACCATACTTTTCAGCCACTTTTTTGTTTCGCAACTGAATGCTATCGTTTAACCCCCTTCTTATAGTATTACAGAAAAAACTGCTGCAACATACCCTCTGGTAAACTAACATAACTCTGGAAAATCACCATTTTTAATGGGTAAATCAACTATAAATGACCATGTTCAATAGCTATTTTGACATAACCAGAGGGTATTTGCCGCCATCGGAACACATCGTCCTCCAATGGTTTGTGGATGCCAGGTCCATCCAGGGTCATAGGTGGACATCCTCCGCCACGGCTTTTTGCTCGTCCCAACCATGGGAAAATGAAAATGGTGACTTTTTCGCCAAAAACCATGGGAAATCCTATGGTTTACGGATGTTTGTGGTAGAAATATCGCAAAATTCGAGAATCTTAATGGGTTTATAAACCAACCTGGAACAATGGCGGATTTCACCATGGACACAGGATTTCCTGTAGGAAAATATGGGGAATTCGCCAACACCATGGTGACTTAGAGGATTTTTAGTTCATGATAGCTAAGTTCAATGACATAACTAGGGGAATTCGATGGTTTGCTTTTTTATGTGATTTCGTAGAATATATTGTGAGTCCACAAACCAAATTAGGTTCGAACAGTTCAAACCCTTCTTGGGGGTGCGGTTGGGGTGACTTTTATGGCTATGGCTATAACCTATAACCATGGGATTAAAACCCCCATAACTTTGGATATCAATGGATATAAACCCCTGTAATCATGGCTAGATACTGTATCCACATATTTTTTGGGAACCTTTGCCCCCCAAGTAATCATCACTGGGGAATCACCAACATCTTTGGTCTTTGGTTGATAAGTTCTGGGATCCCATTCAGTGCTTAGAGGAAGCTACCAGTTTTTACCAATTCTTGTGGGCTTGGTCCCCAAATTTCATCGCGCTGTTCTGTTAGATCCTTCTGGCTATGGGGGGCTTTTTTTCCTTCGTTAGTTAGATGTCATGGTTGTTGGCTAAACACACCAGTTTTTCTCGGGTTTCCTCCATGTTTGTTGGTTAAAAAAACGGTGAAACCCAGAAAAAATTCCTCCGCGTGAAACGAACCCGGTATACCGAGCTACGAGCCGTCGGCGCTGACATCAATACACCAGCGGCACTCGCGGCTCTCGCGGCGAAAGTCGAAGTAGCGGCAGCCGATGAAAAAGCAGTTCTCGGCGCACTCCTGGCGATTTCCACCGGGGATCAAAAATGGTCTGATTCTTAGTGGTGCTAAACGCAGGGAATTTTCGGGAATGATCCCAGTCATCACTAGTAATGTCATCATCCCAGCAACCCCCAGCAACCCATCCATTCCCTACTAAGCACCAGTAAAATTTGGGTTTCATGGGGAGAAACCTCCAATTTCACGAACTTGGGTTTATGCTTGATATATCCTGGATTCAGTGGGATTTGGGATTTCCATTCCAGGTGGTTGTTTCATGGGAATTTCATGGGGATTGTAATGGAGATTATAATGAAGATGATATCTGGTTGGTGGTATACCTACCCCTCTGAAAAATGATGGAGTCCGTCAGTTGGGATTATGAACTTCCCAACTGAATGGAAATTCATAAAAGCCATGTTCCAAACCACCATTTTCCCATTTTCTGATGCGGCCAGCAGTTGAGACGACTACTGCCCGTCTTTGGGCGATCATGTACCTAAAGAGGTGAGAAACACCACCGGGAATCCTGGATCATGGTTGGCAAAAGGTAGGGAATCAATGGCTTTCGATTGGCGCTTGAAAGAAGTGCCCGCACATCGAAACATCCAATCATCAATAAGCCTCAGTCTGGCAGAGGGCCAAGGAAGAGCAGCACAGCCTGTGTACATCTGGATGATGTGCGACACAGGCTTACCATATGTGAACTCAATCTCGATTCCACAATGCTTCAGACTCTGCTTCCAAACTTTTGCAAACCACCGTGCCCGCTGGCGAAAAGCCAACCCCAATAACTGAACCCTTGGTAAAACCTCTCCATCCTGCCAAGTGGTCAAGTGTACAGGGCCTGGGTGACCGGTGCAACACATGAAATCAATATAAAGTTGGAAATGTGAGATCCAAATCACTTCATCCTGACTCTGGTGGAGAGTCTGCCAAAACCAGCTCAAGATGAGTCGAACAATGTGATCACCATACCATCGGGCGGCTCCCCCAGGAATATGCAAAGGCGGCAACGGCGTCCAGGGCCTAGCAGGAGGTGAAACAGCTTCCTCAGGCGCGGTGTCAATCTGAATTGGTGAATCAAATTGCACTACCGCTTTACTGATCTCCAACTGCAAGTTCTGCACAATCCTACACAGGCGGGTAAGCCTAGAGATGGCCAATACATGTCTGTCATGTAGTTCCCAGAACTCTGTAGGCCGTGACCAGTTAGCCCGCACGGCGTGTTTATCAACCAGTGCATTATGGCGGAAGCACCATTCAAACAACACACCTCCGGCATTGTGTTCATGTTGATGCGCGGCAACATGTGTAATAACTGTAGCTCCAGCTCTGTCTTGTAGGCATTGGGCAATTTCATTCCACAGGTCAGAGTGGGAGGCGTTAGGTTTGACAGACGCCCCCTGCAGCAGTTTCGTCACCCTACGCACCACACTGTCACAGTCTGACCACAGCCGTACAGTACCCTTATGGCGTACCGTGAGCTTGAGTGCTTGAAGGACAGCAAAAATTTCTGCACGGACGGCACTCTGGAGAATGCCAGGCAAAACTCCTGCATCAATGACCTGACTGCCGGTGTAGTCATGCACAGCAGAGGTGGAGGCGAAAACAATGGCCCATCCTGCAAAACGCGACTTGTGGCAATGCTGGTTCTGGCAACTGCCATCAGTGAAAAGATCCACATCCCCATCGTGGTGAAACATCAGGGGACCGCTGTGCAAAAGCCCTGCAAAATATTGGTTCCATTCCACCATGGTCGTCGGCATTAATGACCATCCTGAAACTGTCAAGGCCTCAGGCAAATCAACACTGGCACTACGGACATCATCAGGAACCTGGGAACGGAGGTGTTCAAACCTTTCGCAAATCCAAAACCTGTGAAACCTGCTGTCACTGCAATCACAGAAAGGACACGTGTCTTCCATCACCTCCTGACAATAGTGTTTCCCATCTTGAGTAATGTGTGTTCCGTTGAGAACCAGCCTAAACAGAGCCTGATCGGACCGATCCAGAGTAGTCAACCATTTTCGGGTGTCAGCCGGGTCGGTCGCATCTAACCCGTTGAAGCATGAACGATGTGAGGTTCCTGTCTGAACCAGCAAAGGCCAATGAAACTCAACCCGATATTGCAACTCAGCGGCAGAAATCGCGAAAATGGAAAAGGGCCCAAACATGTCATGTACAATCCCATTTTCATCAACATGCCACCCCAAAACCTGAATGCGAGCAAGGAGAGTAGAAGTAATGCTATTAGCCGGAAGATCGCTCGTTCCATTGGCCAACGTGGCGAGCAAACCTTCAACTCTGGGACGAGCGCCGCAATCTCTGGCTAAGCGCAGGGTCTGCATGACTGACCAACACAGGGGATCAACACTGGGTACTTCGACTAAGCCTAAGTGGACCAGCGGGTTGGCCCCTGCACCATCGGCACGAAGCCCTTTCATTGCACCTGCACGCAGTGATGTGAACGTTTGTTGGCTAACCGTGGTGGCTGCCACAGCGTGGAGGCAACGAGGCCATGCCGCAGATTTAAGTGCGCGCACTTTCTGGGGGTAGGGGCATGACGACAATCTCAACTTGGTCCACAATGGAGTGGCCTTCTGGACTCTCTCCATCAAGCAGCTATTGGTGTGCTGCCGGGTGAACTGGATGTGAGCGCCCAAACTCTTACCAAAAGCCACCGTTCCAAATCCTTGTGCACGGATCTGCTTGCGGCCTGCAGCACTAATGGACCAGACATGTGTCTTCTTTTGGTCCAACAAGAGGTCCATCACCTGGATGAAACGTTCCAAGCACTGATATACGTTGCTAAGGCTTTGGGGGTCGGCTACAATCACTTGCCAATCGTCGACATAGGAAAGCGGCTGGCAAAGAGGAAAGAAATGAACCATCCACTCATGGAATAGAATGTCCACCACCATCATACCAACACATGACAAGGCACATCCCTCGGGCAAGCCACAATTGCTCCTAGCAGGTGGACTGAAACTGCCATTGATTTGGAAACGGCGCGTCATCTCAGATAATGCGCCAGCCCAACCACATAAAACCTGAAAAGGCAAGCCAAGAATCGCACAAGCTTCAAGGACCACAATCCTGGGTAAGAAATTAAAAGCCTTTTGTATGTCGGCAATGATGCCGCACAAATCCGTCTGGTTTTCATATGCCATCTCTATGGTCCAGAGCATGTGGGACCAAACCTGCCCTGAATAGCAGTTGGGTCTACTACCATAGAGGCCAACCGGGAGGACGGAGTCAAGCATTCGGATTGCTTGTCGTGCTTGGTAGGTGCCCCAGCAACGATACAATAAGCCAAACACCGTAATGGGTCGAAAGTCCAGGGCCCCCAGGGGGTTAGCAGTTTTAGCTAAGCACGTTACCCTACCTGCAACCAATTGTGGTGGCCATGACCCAGTACTTTCTGCGTGGTGAAACATGGCTAGGAAATTGTCAAGCGCTGCAGGCGGCATTGCTTTCAGGTCCTGGAGTGAAACTCCATCGAGGCCTCCAGTGGTGTGCTTATGCTTATGGGCTATGCTAGCAGACAGGCTTCACGACCGATGGCTGGCCAATGCAACTGTTGTCGCGGCAGTTTCTCTCTGGCAAAGGTAAGGATGGTGTCCCAGCGCTCGGGTGGAACTTCGCCATGCCTCTCCCACATTGTTTTCCAAGCCCCTAGGAAAAGAGAAAACAGCTCTTCGTCAGTGCCCTTGCAGCACAGTTGAGTGACAGTAGAGCCAACTGTAACTTCCCCTACATCGGCAATCCATGCTGCATCCGCTTCCGCATGTATGATTTCCAGCTCAACACCATTACAGAACACGGGTTTGCCAAGATCAAAACAAACAGGAGACTCAAACACTAACGCCTGGTCAGCATGATTCACATGTTCCACCTTTGCAACCACAGGTTTCAAGATGACATTAACGTCCTTTGTCTGACGATCTTTCAAATCCTGGAAAATGGCATTAGGGTTCGCCTCTCTTTTGAGTCTAGCAAACATACGAGAAGACTGCTGGAGCTCTAGCTCAAATGCCCGGAAAGCTAAAGCAAATGAGTCAAATATGCGTTGGGCATCATCCAAGCCTGGTGGTGCATATGGGATTCTGGCAGGGGAATTCAAAGTATGGAAACCACTATTGGGCCACCAATCTGCAAACGAAGGAGTGAAACCAGTGGACCTCAAAATTGATCCCCACAGTTGTTTGGCATATTCAGTATGTTGATGTTGGGCAGCAACATGTCTCATGTAGGCTTGCAATCGGCGCAATTGCCGAAGCCATTGGGCATGACGAAATGATGCACACACATAGTGGGGGTGAACGTCCCCAATGCGCGCTTTCTTTGGGGGTGGTATTTTACCATCTTGCGACTTTTTCACCGCATGGATTGAAGCCCGACCCACCGCACGAGGATCAACAGGAAAAGGCAAGGCTTGACAGGCTTGTGTTTCAATGTGCCGCCACAGTGCATGATACCTGTTCTCAGCAGTGCCTGATGAATTTCCCCAAAAGTTGGGGTCGACTTCCCATGAAAGAGGCCATGGCAATTCCCCCGGTGAGACCCAAATTTGGCGCGGAACCGATTTCTTCAAGGAAGCAAACTCACCCATCAAAACTGCATGATCCGGGAAAACGTCATGTAAAAGTGAAACAGAGCAAAGCAGGTGTTGCATTTCACGCGAGACATAGCAAAAGTCCTTTCTAGTGGCATGCTTGCAGGTGTGGGCGACTGGCTGTCCCCACATGTCAAAAGCCAAATCTTGCAAATCCCTAAAACCGGCAGCTTCAAGGAGGTCAAACACAGGAAGAGAATGCTGTTCGCAGTTCCAATCACCGGCCAGGAACCGAGGACCTTTTGTCAGGTGACAGACTTGGCTGGCAACATGATGTAACAATTCTTCGTTATGGATTTTTTGTTGGGGGTAAGAACTACTCTCAGGTTCACCATAAACCACACCCCCAGTGACCCAATAATCATTGACCAGTGTAGTCGTGATCAGGGTTCTGGCAGATTCTTTGATCTCACGAGGCAAATTGGTTGGTACCTCGCGTGACGGGAATTTGGAGAGAACTGCAACTCCTCGCCAAGCAGCGTGAAACTTTCGGCTATGCTGGGAAGGGACTGGGTGTCCACTGATGCAATATCTGTGTGGGCTCTTTGCAAAATGCAGGCCTGCTCGGAACTGTTGGAGTGATTGACCGCACAAATGGGTCTCAGAGATAGCCCAAATGTCCCCTTGAGCTAACTGTGAAACAATGTAAGGGGCCTTCCCTTTTAACCCAGATGGGTTAAACGCCCCCAGAACAAAATTGGATTCATTCGGGCCAGGATTAGTAGCTTCACCCATTCTGCACATAAGGGTGAGGGCAACAATGTAAGGCCAGGAACTATTACATCTAAAAGATGCAGAGCTGCACACGGCACCAACCCCACTGAAAACTAAGACCAACATGATGAGGCCCAGGATTTGATCGCGGAGCCAAACTCCTGCAAGTGTGAGACAAAAACCGAGCATGGCAAGACCAAATCCACGGCCTGGCTGTCATTCCAAGCCTTCATCCCTTGGCCGCTTGGCCAACAAACCCCTGATTTGCTGCATCTGCTGTTCGAAAAGTGACTGCATATTCTGATTTTGATTTTCCAGGTGCCCATGGAGCTGTTGTGCCTGTGCCGTCACCTGGGTCTGCAGTGCATGGATCTGTTGGGTATGCTGCCCACTGTACTCGTGAAACTGTGACTCAAGCCCTTGTTGTTTTGCCAAAAGTTGGTGCACCTGCCCCTCCAAAGTCTGAACACGATCTGGGAGGTCATCTTCCATCGGGACCTGCATTTTGGCCAATACGGCGGATTGGATGCGCTCTTCGATCTGTTGCATTCCCTCAGTAGGGGCAGTGGCAATTGCTTTGGTCCCTGAGGTGTGGTATGATCGCCACGGATCAGAATGTACCCATGGATCACCGTCAACTTGCTTTGGCTGTGAAACCGTGCCACAAAGCGCCAGCGTGTCTGCTGAACCCACGGTGGTGGGTGCTGGTGATGGCGTCACTTGGTCATGTTTCTGCTTCGTGATGACAATCTCACCACTGGTGGTCGCCACAATGGTGTTTTCTGGATCCACTGTAGCCTGCACGGTCCACATGACTCCTCTGCCGGGGCAAGGGTTGGTTGGCTGTAAAGGGCGACATTCCCACCCTGCAGTTCGCAAGACTTTGGCGACGGCCTGCCGGTCGACACCGTACGGAAAAGGACCTACGGTGAACAAATTCTTGGGTCCATTGGAGAGGAAAACCGTGTCTGGTCTGACAAGTTGGTGAATGGCCTTAGCCTGCGTTGTGTGCACTCTCAGTCCACGACGTTCTCCCAATCTAGCCAAACCTGTAACCGCAGGGTTAGTTTGCATCAGGTGTTGCATCTCTTGCAGTGAATGTCTTGTGGTCCAAACAACAGTGTATGCCGAGAGAATCTCAGTACCATCGGCTGTTCTTGGCTCACAATATGCTCCTGATGTTCCACTGGCGTTCAGCATGGCTTCCAAAATAGCCATAGGAATACGGATGCACACAGAAAACATATCCGCTTTGCTGGCGGGGCAAGGCTTAAATCCTGATCGGAGAAATTGGCGGCGCCACACGTCGAGGATTGGATCCCTCAGTGGCAACTTCTCAGTGTTGTGCCAAGCCGGGCACGTACACGTTTCCTCCATGCATCTCTTGAGTTTTGGCAAGAGTGAAACCAAGCATCGAATGGGGGAGCTACAGAACTCATTCCAATCCCCCGGCAATTCATCTTTGTACACCAACACTTTGAGAGTGACCACTTCTGGGGTGTCGATGGACACCAGGGTGGGCCCATTCGCTTTTTCAACGAAACCAGCACCTAGTTGCACCATGACTACCGCTGCTAACACTGGTTCATTATTAACAGTGCATCGGCAAGGCACCGTGACTTGGGAATGAGGCAAGGCGGTTTGCACTTCGGCCCCTGCCCTGTGCAGCACCAGGAGAGCAAGTGGCTCACGTGAAACAGCAACCCCCGCACGGAGGTACGGCTCGGCATCGTTCAACGACATGAGGATGACTCCACTACTGACTGGTCCTATCTGCTTCATGGTCAATTGTTGCATGACGTGACCCTGGCAGTGAAACGATCCATCCAAAATCAAAAGCTTTGCGGGGTCGAGCTCGGCAGGGGCAGGCTGGTTTCTTGGTCCCTTACCTTTTCCCTTGGGGCCAATGGGCTTCCCCTTGTTGTTTTCAACAGCTTTGGCCAACTCACTTGGCAAAACGAACTGAAACTTTGAGTTATTTCCTAACATTTTCAGCTGCTTCCATGATTGTCGGTGGGCCAATGCCTGTAAGATCTGTTCGCTACCCAATGCTTTGATGGCCGAAACAGCCCTTTCTTCAACTGCATTTTCGGGAATTCCGTGTTTCAGGAGTTCTTGGGCCAAGTTTTTCACCAAAGTACCATGTGCTCCAAAACCCCAACATGTGGGAGTTGCACTGTTGGGATGATCATCTGCATCAGCGTACCAAGTCTGGAGGCAAATCCTAAGGTCAGCCATGAGGAGATTCTCAGTTGTGAAACCACAAAGAGCTGCCAAAACCTGCCACGTGTAGACACCACATAAATCCGCAGAAGGCGGGGTCATCGGAAGCAGGCAAATGTCTTCGGTATGTTGCAACACATATTGCGCAACCAAACCGGGTTCCATGATGACAATCTTCTGGCAACCAAATCGGAGCAGGACAATTGGATACCAATGCCATTCAAACAAGAAAGCAATACCACCGCAGGCATGAACTGAACAGAATTGTTGAGCAATCATGGAAGTGAGTCTACCCATGTCATGCAAAACCATGGTCAGTGGCGGGGACAATGGCTGGTTGACGAGAGTGTCCAGGTGGAACTTCATTTCATGATGTCCCATTCCCCAAAAGTGAACCTGAGCGATGTCAGTTTCGAACCTGTTGTGAAGTCCGTGATCTTCCAAATCCATGACCTGTGAAACATCGTAAGAGGCAAATTCGTCAGGCATTCTAGGGAGTAGCCTGGATTCCCCTGAAATTCCCCATCCCCACAGAGTAGGGGTGGTGGGAGTTCCCGTTTGGATTGCTTCAGCAAAAATTATCTTCATGTCCCAACATCGTGCTCGCAACTGATCAACATCCCTGGGCCAACTGGTGTTGAGCAGAATGTGGGCCAAAAAACAGATCGACATGGCACCGCACAGGCGGGGCACTTCAATCCCATGTGGCACTCGATGAATCACAACATCCTGGAAATCCAAAAAGGAAGAAAGCGCACGCAAAATTTGTTCCACCTCGAGATCATCCTGGGCAAAGTCACCCAGAGTGTGACACTGAGCTGTGGTACCTACTGGAGCAATCCAAAACGGGATCCAGTGCTGGTGGAGAAGGACCACGGCAATCACGTGTTGTGGGCCTGGAGATGTGTTCCAAACTTGTGTCTTCCATTCATCAAGGCGAGCGGAAGCGCCTTGTAACCACTCATCAAGGATGTCAGGTGAAACAGTGATGAAATGTCGAATGGGCCCCGCAGGCAATGGTCCCTGTGAATGACAGTCCAACAAGTGTTGCACCTGGAAATCAATTTCATCATTACCCATGGCATAACTGTGGCTTACCAACATTTGGAGGCGTCTCTGGCGAGTTTCCTCCACAGCATCTTGTTCAGTGGTAGTTTCATCAACGGGCATTATAGGGAGTTGCCCGGATTCCCCTGAAGCTCCATTAGCCCACACAACCGGTTTGGGTGTATACCCAAGGGAGTACAGGTTCGCAACAAAGGAGGCACGCATATTGGTATGCAAAGTCCGAAGTTCCTGCAAATCTTCCGGGAGGGCCATCTGTACCACGACATGAGCAATGAAAGCCATCGCGTGGGCTCCACACATCACATGTTCTGGTAATCCATTGGGAATCTTGTGTATGGCAAAATGGAGGAAATTCAATTTCTCCGCCAAAATCGTCAAGATTGCTTCAATGGGGGCAAAATCAACGTCTACATGAAACGTGTGGATCTGCAAAGTGGAATCTTCAGGGACCATCCAAATTGGCATCCAGTGGTTGTCAACAGCAATGGCAGTCACCACATTCTGGCCTTTTTCCTTGATCTGGGGGTTGCGTGCGCACCATTGACTAGCAATGATATGGCCAATTGAATCCCAACAGTTGAAGATCAACGGTTCCATTGCCGTGAACTTTCTTTCATTCTGAGGGAGGTGCCGGTCAGGCTGGTTCTCAACAAGCTGGAAAATATGAAATCTGATCTCATCATCCCCCATGGCAAAACCTTTTTGATTGATCAAATCAATTCGTTGGTCTCGTGTGATGTTGACAGCAAGTTGCAAGTCACCGTGAGTCTGCGCACTACTGGAGGCAGGCTGATCCCCGGCTCCCCAAACCCAAGGTCTGCGTGCAATTTGGCATCTGCGCAATTCTTGCAAATACCCTTCTTTCAAACGGGAATGAATCACGGTGGCATCTGTACAGTCAGTGGGTAATTGGGTACCCAGCAAAGTGTACCTGAGGAATGCTATGGCCAATGCGCCACACAGCTCAGTGGTGAAAAACAACCGGTGTTCTCTTCGGATCATGGCATTTTGAAATCCCAGTGCCAAAGCAAGCGTTGAGACAACCTGTTCCAAACCGTCGTGCGAAGCACCCATGCCATCCCATGTGTGCACATGTAAAACATCTTTCAGGGGTGACATGAAAATGGGAATCCAATGACTGTCAACCATTGCAACAGTAACAATGGGGATGCCCTTTGTCAGAACTTCCGGGTGATCATTGGCCCACAGCCTGCAGTCAAATCCTTTGTCCTGAATCCAAGCCGAGAAAACCAAAGGATCAATGCAACAAATTTGAGGCACGGGATGACCCAACTTGGCTTGTTTCTCTTGGAACGATGTGATGACTGCATGCATGTGAAACCTGATCTCGTCGTCAGCCCAAAGATGTTCCTGACACTCCAGGATGGCAATTCTGTCATGGGTGCGAACATATTGGTGCCGCAATGACCAAAGTTGTTGTGCATTCTGTACACACGGCATCTGAAGCTTCAAAAATTGTTTTCCTTGCAACCCTTGCAGTGCGGATGCATCAAGCCACATTTGATCATCAGGCATAACCATGCTAGGAGTTAAACATTCACCCACATCAAACTTGGAGACTTTGCGTGGTGGCGATTTGACATCAATTTCAACCGCAGGTTGAGACCATGCAGCCGTGGGTGAAATTGCGCACTCACTCTTGTCAATGGTGTGATTGTTTGATTCGCAAGCAGTGGCAGAAATGATGATCAACTGACCTACTTCCATGCAGTGATCCAAACCAATTGCCTGTCCTTTCAAACTGACCTGATTGACCTCACATGGACCTACCAGCTTTGCATGGGCAGCTAAGAAATCAGCCACAGTGGACCCAGACTTCGGTTGAAAACGAATGGGTGGCTCCGTCAAACCCTGGAAAACAACTGTACACGAATCAGCATACATGCAGCCCTGTAAGTCAGGGTCATCTACAAGCTGAGGTGAGTCGAAAACTGGGATGACCTCATCATCGGTCTTCGGTTCATTGTCTGGCATAGTGGGAATGATGCTTTCTTTTCCCCGGATCAAATGGTCAAGGACAGCAGCGACACTGGGGGTGCAAGCAAACTTCCCATCCCATCTCATAGGAAACATGAGTTCCGCCATGGACAAATGCTGAAGATCTTTCCAAAAGGCCATCAGGTCAAGAAGTTTGGGGTCATGGATGGTCTCCTGAACCACTGGCCAAACTTGTCTACATCGGGTCAACAGCCATGCACGGTAGGCTTGGATTTGGGAACTGGCTGAAAAGGTTTGAGCTTGCTTCATGGCATCAATTTTTTCCAAAACCGAACCAAGGATCCAAAGCGCCTGAGCAGGACAAGCTAATTGGCCAACTGCTGAAAGGGTGAGACGTACATCAGTACCAAAGTCAATCACTGGGTCAAAGGTGTTGAGGCCCATCGCTTCATTAGGGTGGACATGTCTGATCACACTCGTGCCATCAGGGAAAGAGGCGCTTCTCACTAAACATCCATGCAATCCCTTGTTCTCAAGACGAGATTGAGTGAAACCATATTTGCGACATCCACATGGACATGCTCTGGTTTGTGATCCCCAAGCATGAAGAGCACATGGCGCTTTTGACTTTCCATTGAGAAGATATTTGGAATGACATTCATCAGCGACCCCAAAAGCTTGAATCTCCACATCATCCAACGAGAGCTGCATTTCATCGTCATGTGCCCACAAACGAATCTCCGGAATTACTTGTTGTACCTCTTGAATAGATGCGAGAGGAGGCCATGGTTTCAACTCAACTGGACCGATGAATGGGGCTGATAAAACCCACCATGAACGGTGACGTCTGCATGGCCAAATATGATCCAACCTCAACTCAGTTTGGGTACAAAAGAATCCAGTGCTCTTTGTGAAATGGTCAATCTCTCCCTTCACAAAACTGTCTTGCGCTGCTGGAGCAACGCACTCCAGGATGATCAGTTGGGCCTGGAGATAAAAGGCAGTCTCTAGGGTTTTCGTGAGACAATTGGCACGGGTGTCATCTTGGGACTTGCCGTCCCCCAATTTGGAAAAGGGCTGGCAGCTGAATCCTGATGTGACAGTGGCGGCCCCGGATGAGTGACGCCAAATTTCTCGGACAACATCATGGGAACCAATATCCCCACAAATGACATGTGCCTCGCTAGCCTTGGTATACAACTCAATCATCTTTGGGTTCTGGTCCACTGCAACCTGGACAGAAAAGCCAGAGGCTGTGGCGCCCTGTGCTAGACCTCCAAAGCCTGCGCATAAATCAACTACCGACATGAGTGCATCCCATGATGGCTTGCGATGTCCAAGGATATGCGTATCTTTGGCCGTAGTGATCATGGGAACTGGGTACTGTTGTTTCAGCACAGCATTGAAGATCGTGAAAGAGTGAAACTCATCGCTGATGAAGCCCTCAAAGAGAAAGCTGGTACCATCCATGCAAACCATGAGGTGAGAAGTCTGTTCAGAATCGAATATCTTAACAGAACATACCAAATCCAATAAAGCACCGTTGTCAACTGACCTGATTTCCATGGGATAAGACCGAGTCATGGGAAGCCGAAGGTGAAACTTTCGTCCACCGCTCAGCACAGATCAGCCGCACTACTGGAAAGGGGCTTGGGCTGTCACGGCTGTTCCAAACAACCAACCAGATATATAATGGATTATAATATCACCGACCACTCCTGGATCTGTTGGAATTTCATAGGTGTCTTCTTTCATGGACGGGAAAATGATCACCAACAACTCCGTGGTGCTTTGTTAAAGGTGTGCCATCATAGGTTTGGTGGATCTTTCTGTTGTTAGTTTTCTGTTGATTTCCTTCAACTGTTGGACAACTCGAACTTATTCTAGTTATAACTGTAGATGGGTGATACCTGCACCAACATGATCATTCCAGGCGCCATGGTCACGTTTCATGCCCCTGGAATGTCCACCAACCTCGATTTCGGGGGAACTTCGTGGGATTTCACCAGGGGGATAAATCTCGAAGCCACCAATAAATCCGACGAGAATCACTGAATGGAACCCTTATTTCGACCTGGATCCATTGGATTTACCCTCTGGTAAACGCTTACATAACTATGGAAAATCGCCATTTTCAATGGGAAAACTGACTATAAATCATCCATTTTCAATAGCAAACTGTAAACGTTTACCAGGCCGGGTATCCATTGGATTTCGCTGATTTCAACCCTAAACCCCAGATAAGTTGCTTCAATTATCGCACCAGGTTGACATTGGAGTCAATGGTGGTTACCCTCTGGTAAACTAACGTAGCTATAGAAAATCACCATTATTAATGGGTAAATCCACTATAAATGGCCATTTTCAATAGCTACGTTAAATTACCAGAGGGTATGTCAACCAAGTGAGTTTTTTCGTTGCCAACTTATAACTGGCAAGTTACACCAGTTTGTAGGATTTACATGGGATGACTTTTGAAGGAAATTTTAAGTGGGATATATTTAAGCAACAAGATCTCAAGATATGCCAACTGATATGGTGATTTAACCAACTGGGATTCTCATGAAGGGGGTGGTCATTATCCAGGCTAACCCGCACAGACGGTGATGTTTACAGACATGGTTGAGAGATCAACCCTGCCATGTTTCATGCTGTGGGGAAAAAACACAAACCAAAGTGGAAAAAAAAATGAAAACCGAAAAAAATGTAGGTCCTTCTGTTTTCCCATCTGAAGGCCTTAAAGATCACTTTATTTTTTAAAAAAGTGTTCCACCCAATAGGTGATTAGGGCTAATCATGGCCAATCAGCCAGCCTGCCTGCAAAAAATGGAAGATTCGCTGGTGAACGTAGATCATCCCATTTTTTGGATTAGTTAAACTAGCCATCTAAAACAGATTGCCAAAAAAATCCCCAACATTAAACCACCATGAAAAAACACCCATCTTTCAGATACCCTACATCTATAGCAAAACTAGGGTCGTTGTGCCCCACCTCCAAACTGCTGGTATAGCGCAGGCGATAACGAGAGCCGCTACAAATCTGCCCGGCTTGTTGAAACCTCGACGTGGGACCCACGGGATGATTCGTTGTGATTCATGACCTACAAAACTGGGGTAGATCCCATATGTATATATATATATATACATATATGTATATTATATATATATGTGTTGTGATTGGATCCACACTGGTAGCTTCAGTTCCCACCTCAGCAATGCGGTCGCCACCTTTTTCAATGGCCAGCTGAAGTCACGGTTGCAGCAAAACGGCACGTGCTGCCAGAAAGGTCTCGAAATGGTGTCTGCACCAAACCAAGCAAAGTGTCGGCCACGACACGTAGCGACTGTCCACAGTCTATGGCTTCAGGTTGCTAAGATACCCACTTCCACCCACCTACTGGCTCGCCTAAGCCAAAAGCAACTGTGAAATACCGGTTGGTTCCTGTTAGATTCACCTGAGATCTGGATGGCATCACGGGGGTTATGTAAAGTATGACAAATGACTGGGATCATTGATACATTCACACTCCCAACAGAAAATTTACTTTTCACTTTTTGTGATGTCAATGGGATCTTCCGTGGATTGAAGCCATTTTACTCTGGTTTTTGTGGATGCCCTTTCCTTGAGAATCTGGGATTCATCATGCAAACAGTATTTTCCATGGAAGAGAGTCTGTCGCAAGAAATGGCATTCCATGATTTTTGTCAGTGCGTCTGCTAACTGGGCACCGCTGTGAACCCATCGCAACCTAACTCCTTCTGCAAGGAAATCCTTTATTGCATGGGCCTGGAGTTGGGTTCGGAACTCTGAGCAAGATGGCGTGGCTGTGCGAGTGACAAGGTCAAATAGTGATTTGCAATCGGTAACTGCTATTGATGGATCTTCTTTGAAAGTGGCTGTGGCATATGTTGGTGGTAGTGCTTTGAGAGTTTCTGTGGGTTTCCGCCAATCTGTCAGAGGATCTTTGATCCAGCTCCAGAACAGCCTCAACCAGGAAAGTTGATCCAACGTGGAACTAAGCGAGGTTGTTTCTGCTGCGAGTGTGCTTGTCACCACTCTTTGGATCTTTTTGCATCCCCAGCTGATGGGATTGACTGGGCATACATGGTTCTTTCCGATATCTTCATGAGTAGTCATGATTATGGTGCCAGTGTGTGACTCTGGTTGTTTCTTTGAGGCAAATGACGCATCTGAAAACGCTAGGAACCTGATTTTGTCCATGGGAATTGGTTGTATTCTCACGCAAGTGGTCTTATGGCGTTTGGCTTCGTGGAGGACTTTGTTTCCATGAACTAGTGTGTCAATTGTTGCACTGTTGATTGCACTTTGGAGAAAACTCAATCTACTTGCCAAGTCAGGTCTTGTGTTTACTGAGGCGTATTGCAATGATCCAATCAAAGCTCTGAGGTCCTGTCTCTCTCTCTCCGTGACGGCAAGGTCTACATTGGCTTTTCTGGTTGGCTGAATATGGATTGGGTTGATACGTGAGATGTAGTTTTCTTGGGACATGGTAATGCTGTAGTCATTCTCTTGAGTCATTTCAATTCCGGTGAACACAAACCTCTGGGATTTTCGGGATCCAAATGAGAACTTCTGTTCAAGTTTTCGGATTTGCTGGTGAAAGAACTCATTGCCTCCGCACAATCCATCGTCAACATGAATACCTAGGATTCCTGCTGGTTCCTTTTTGTCCTTTTCATGTAGGAGGTACAGGCAGGGATCAAAAGGTGAAGAGATGAAACCCAATTCCTTTAGTGTTTTGTCCAACTCGGTGAACCACAGGAACGGTGCGTCAATAAGGCCATAAGCGGACTTGATCAATCTGCAAACCTCGGTTTTCTCAAGATTCATGGCCCTCACCATTTCAGGCACAGGTTCAATTGCTATCACTCTCCCTTCTTGGGTCTTTCCTTGAAGGAAAGCTGCCTTTATATCAAAAGACATGAGTGTCCACTGCATTGAGGCTATGACTTGAGCTATGAACATTTTTGACGTTCTACCAAGTGTGGGGCTATCCCGTGGAATGGTGTCCAGTTGGGGGTCCATATAACCCAAAACAACAAGTCTTGCTTTTGCTTTTCTGGATTTCCCCCCCAGCTCTTTCTGTTCCTTGGGGTCTTCAACTGGTTTCCAAACGTACAGCCATCTACATCGGAGTATCTGTTCAGGGGCAAGTTCATGTCTGAACATTCTCTCAACCGTCCCAGTCTGGAGCCAATTGTTGACCTCTTTGGTCTTGGCCTTTTCGAATTCCAATCTCTCCTCAGGTTCCAGTGTGTTCAATTTCACTTCCGTTCTCTGTCTTTTGCTATTGGTCGCAAGAAACACTAGTTCTTCTTCAGTTGGGTTTTCTTTGCAGTGACACACTGTCTCCACAAGGCTTGCATTGAAATCCATTTCAGCACGCCACACGGTGTTCTCTCCGTCAGGTGCTGTTGCGGTCAGCACATCTACATCTTCGCATGTTAGGAGATCACATAACAGCTCATCACTGCTGTCATCTGGGACAGGGATTTCATGTGGCTGGACATTCTGTGGACATGGATTGTCATTGAGATTATTGTGAGGGCTATTCTGGGCTTCTGGATTCATTGGTGTTATGGGTAACTCTTCTGGTTCTTGGTCAGGCTGATCTGATGTACTTTCACTTGAGGTTACCGCTTGAGGGTTACTGGGAATTGTTATGGGACCTTGGTTTCTTATGTTATCTTGATTATTGTTGTCACTTGGTACTTCTTGGTGGGATCCAATTGGCGGTGGACTGTGACTCTGGTTGTTCTCAAGGTCTGGCAAGTCCGGCATGTTGATTGGAATGAGTCTTGCCTCGACGGCACTGACTGGTCTCACGTGTTCTGGGGCAGCTTTGACAATAGAACCGGCATTGTTGCAGAATACCGTAGAGCTGTTATCTTGCTTGATTACTCTTGCAGGACCTATCCATGAACCCTTAAAATTGGTGACCTTCCATACCATTACCCATTCCCCTGATTCATATGCTCCTCGGTGAGGTCTGTCCCTTCTGAGAGCAGCTCTTCTCAGGGCCATGTCATTGTCCGCTGCATGGAAGGCTCGTCGCGCTGTTTCGCGCATGGCCAACAACTCTCGGAATCTCAGGCCAGCATTTGTCTCACTTTCGGCAATGGCATGTGCAGGCAGTGAGTCATCGCTTGTGATGGATGCGGGGATCTTCAGGCCACGTCCAAAAACCAAGGTGTCGGGTGCATACCCGTGGCGAAGGCTACATGAGTTCTTGGCCATGGTGCACTGTGTCAGGGCTTGTTGGAACTGTTGGTAATTGCTGACATCATGTTCTAGTTCAAACTTGGACAACATGTTTTGGAGAACCCCGCCATGTCGTTCGACTCTGCCGCATTGCCAATGAGCGTCTGGTGGAACAACCTCACATTGAATGTTCATGTTTTGGAGAAACTGCACAAAACTTTCTGAGATAAATTCTCTCGCGGAATCCATGAGCACGGTGTTTGGTGGTCCTGCCCAGTTGAGCCATCCCATGGTGAACTTTTCTTTGATTTCAGCTCTATTTGGTGCTATGATCGCGGTATGGTAGTTTGTGCCATGATCTATGAAATGGTAAAAGTGGAACTCTTGACCTTGTTTGTTTGTCAATTTCACTCCATCCATGGATACTTTGTCTCCAAAACCGAGTTCTTGTTTCAGTGAGGCTGGTCGAGGAATCTTTGGCCTTTTCTGCATCTGGCATATGGAGCACTTCAAGTCCAACACACCCTGTACTATTGATTGATCATAACCCCGCTGCTGAAGTACTTGGCTAAGTCTTCTAGGTTCTGGATGGCCCAGGTTCTTATGTAGTCGCAACGCTAGCTTCTTATTTTCAGGGGACATTGCTAAGAATTTTGGGCCGTGATCTTGACTGCTTTCATCTATAGACATGGGTGTCATGGTCTCCTCGGCTGCATCTGGACTTGGCATTGGCATCATTGGGGCATGAAGAGGCTCATCCGGAGTCTCAGGGGATTCAGATGCCGGTGCTGGCTCCTGAATTTCGGGTCTTGCTGGCAAACTTGGCACGGAAACTGCTTCTTCCGCTGCAGGGTGATTGCGTGCAAAAACTGTTATATTCATGTAGCTTGGGTGAGACCGCCTCCACTGCTGTCGAGCTGACAAGAATTCCCAATGTTCCCATTGATCTTCAACTAGGATTTTCTTGGTCTGCCTCTGCATGATGATGGCCCGACGATATGGCGCTTCACTTGGAATCATGTCTTTTGGTGGTTGGACGGTCCTCTCAGTCCCCTTACAAACCAAAACGGTCACCACCAGTTTTTCAGGAAACAGCTCTTGGATGTCCTGAAGAATTTTGGAGTCATGAATCAGTTTTCGGCCAACCCTGGGTGCTATTGACGTCACATTTTTGCAAATCCGGTCACATAGGGCTTGGCTACTTTCAAGCTCTTGGGATTTCCCTTGGATTCTCCTTCTTTTGGCTGGCACTTCCTGCGGCTCGATCAAGCTACTGTTCTGCAGTTTTGCACGTTTGGCTGAGGCACCTGTCTGGACATTGGATGAACGCTTGAACCCCTGCATGGCAAAAGCTGTAGACTCCCAGCACATGATTGGCATTTCCTTCATGTTCTTCACCTTGGTTAACACTTGAGCCAGACTCCTGGCAAACTTTCGGGTGTAGTTTTCAGAGAAAGCTGTTCTCCGAATGCTCACTCCTTTGTAGATGGTATTCCCTTCAAGTCGTTGGTGATCATGTTGTTTGTTACACTTTCTTCCGTTGAATTGGAGATACATTTGTTGTGAGGTAGTATGGACTTCCATGCCTTTCTTGAAAAGCTTTTGATTTTGGGGATCTCTCATACCACCGACTTGACACATATCAAAATTGGCCTTGTAAGTCCCTTGGGCTACTTCATACAAGTATGGAGTCTTCAGCATCAGGGATCGGGCTGGCTGTTCCCAATGCAAGTGTCGCTGGTGAATGCATTGGTACCTGTACAGTACAAGTCCGAGTGCCAATTGATATAAGTGCTGGTCACGCTGCTCCTGAACATGTTGGAAACCGGCAACACTTTGGGATTCGTTCAGAAAGCTCCATGCACACCATGGTCCACAGGTCGGGCTAAACCAAACATGTTGAGGTCTTGATTCGAGAAGGGTTTTGAACAACTGTTGTCTCCCTCCTTTGCTACTCAAATCACCTTCTTGAATCCCATGGCGGCTTGCACGGTATCCTAGTTGATTGACCTGTCTGGTCAATTCGCTTTCAGGGCTGCAAAACACCTCAAGCACTTGCAAGCGTGGTTGGTGTCGGAGACTGTCCCATGTTGATACTTCATTTAGTTCGGCAGTGAATTGTGACACAAGGTTGTTGAATTTGGATTGTATGTAGTTCATGTTGTATTGATGATTGTGATCAGGATCAAAATCATATTCCCAGTCTCCGGCATTCAGGAGGTGATCTAGGGGGCTGCTTGGTGAGTCTGCCGCACATGGTTCAGAATCTCGGTGAGCGCGTTCTCCACATTGAGGACTCGGCTCTGCAGAGCATCGATCATCTCTTGCTGTGGGCTGATCATTGCGGCTGTGGGGACATCGTTGTACATGACATCCCATGGTTCCCATGCCTCCCCCTCCTCGAAGATCTCGCTGGTCATTGGCATCACCTGTGCAGGGCTGGCTGCTGCCTTGCTCTTGGGCTGTCCCTTGGGGCGTGGACGGATCACCTCTTGATTGGTCTCCCGAGCTGTCATCGGGGTCATGTCGTAGAGGGTCTCGTGCTGGTTCACCATGGTCTCGATGTAGATCAGGAGCTTCTGATGTTCCTCCTTTTGACTGGAGGCATATGTCTTGGCAAACCACCGGATCCACCCCTTTTCCGATCTCCACATCTCCTCGTATGTCCGGCCGACATGTGCTCGACCGAAAGTGACCTTGGACTCTCCCATCTCGGCAGCTGTCAGCGTGCGAAAGGACTCCACACTTTCTGGGTTGCCCTGGGACAGCACACGGTCCAATCGGCTGGTGAGGCTCATTGCAACGATCGTGAGTTGATCGAACCACCTGAAGGAACTCGGCTGGCAGTGGCTTGGGCCTTGAACTTTCCACGGTGATGTCTTCGATTCTGGGCTGTGTGTTCCGACATGTTTCATGGATTTCCTGGCTGTTGTGGGCACTTGTGGGTGTCTTCAGCTTGATGGTGGAAGTGGATGTGTTTACATGACTGTGTGACATGTGTGGCATGGTCTCGGCTACTTGTGGATTGGACATCACTGGCTTTCTGTCATCGCTGTTGGCATTTTGGCACTCGAGAAAATCGCTGCTGTGGAAGGTCTCGGCTGCAGGTCCATCTTGGCCACTGTGCTGTCCGTGCTGTGCTTGAATCAAGTCATTGATATCAAGTAGATACAAACCCCTTGGGCTTAGCTTCAGTGGAACTGGTTGAGTGAACATCGGACTGGTCAAGACCTGCTTGGCACTATCAATGCTAGCTTTGAGAGTTCTTACCAACGTATTTGAAAGAAGCAGTGGTGTTGCGCCTGGAACAACAGCTACCTTTAATCCCAAACCAATTGCATTGAGGGGAATTACAAGTGCATGCTGACTGTCTAACGTTCCTTGGTTCCCGAACCTGAACGTGATTTCACAGGTTGTCCTGCGCAACTGCTTCTTGACATTGGCCGGAAAACTCTCGATCAGAGCTGGCAAGTGGCTGCTTCCTACAACAGACTTCGTGGCACCCGTGTCTAAAATGCCATAGGTGCCATGGGCAGAAAAAAAGGCTACTTCACTGTCACTGGCTTCACGGAACGGCTGCATCATCACAGGTTTCGCAACGGGCGAATCACTCCTGGGACGTGACTGGCAGCGGCTGCTGATCATGTTCTTTACCCCAAGGTTATGGTTATTACCCCGTTTACGGATGCGTTCCCGGATTTCATGGGGAACTGAACTAACAGTGTTAATTTCATGCAAGCTAGGCACATCAAGTGACGTCTCATGTACCACAGGCAGTTGGACGAACTCCATAGGCAAAGCATTGGGCTCCCCTTCGAAGGAAACGGCTTCGGCAGTCATCGCTGCCGATGTGCTGGTTGATCCGGTCGATCCTGCACTCTTGGCTCTGTCAGGACATTCCGCTCGCCAATGTCCCTTACGTCCACAGTTTCTACAGGTGCTTTCCATGATGCGCTGTTGAAGGCTTTTTCTGGGTCCACGACTGAAAGTTCGACCTTTTCCCTTTGGGAATCCAGAAAACTTTGACTTACCTTTCCCGGCCCCGATCGGCCAGAAGCCTCTGTTCTTGAAACGGTCGGACAATCGTTTGCGAGCTTCACTGTATGACACATATGCTGCAGCTAAGTCTTCATCGGACTGGAGTGCATCTGTTGCTGCAGCCTCGTAGTCATGTATCAACAAAGCATCTTCATCGGCATCCTGAATCAACTGTTCTATGAACTCATCTTCATCCATGTCATCAGCTACAAGTGCAGTATTTTCGAAATCAACACCAGCTACATCCTCACTCAGCAGTGCTTGTTGGTCATAGATCTTCCCTTTGGTTTTCTTCATTCCAATCATGTCATGAAAGAAACTGGTTCCAAGCATTCGGACTGACTGACTCACCTTCTCGATGGTCAGAACACCTGTTGTTGCAGATTCACTTTCAAGGATGACTCGCTTTTTGTCTTCTGAGCTAAGCAGTGAACCTCTGAGAACTATGTACGCCTGAACCTGCTCCAAGTCGATTTTCTTGGCTTTCAACTCGGACCACACAACGTCACAACGGGCAAGGAAGGAATCGTTTGTTTCATCCTGTCGTTGAGTACATTTGAACAAGGCCTTCTCCACAATCTCGTAAGTTCTCTCCAAGTTCACCTTTCCCCACTGACCTCCTAGGGTGGTAACAAGCAATTCAATGCCTGCTTTATCCCCAGTCATCAGCTTACTGCGGCTCAACTGAAGCTTCTGAAATGCACTTCCGGTCGTGTTCAGAATGAGGCGAGTTACCAATTCATTCATCTTTGTTGCAGGCCAAATCTCACTCAAGAGCTCAACCTTCTGCGTGTACTGCTCAAGGTCGTCTTTAGACGGGTCAAAGCTTGGAACTAGCATTGCCATCTGAGTCGAGGTTGCAGTGTTTCCCTCGGTAGAGTCCCCTCCATTCTGGGACATTTCAACTGACACTGGATGTCAAAAAGGTTTCCCCGGAGCAAGTGTTGGTAGCTCCGCTACCAGTGTGATTGGATCCACACTGGTAGCTTCAGTTCCCACCTCAGCAATGCGGTCGCCACCTTTTTCAATGGCCACCTGAAGTCACGGTTGCAGCAAAACGGCACGTGCTGCCAGAAAGGTCTCGAAATGGTGTCTGCACCAAACCAAGCAAAGTGTCGGCCACGACACGTAGCGACTGTCCACAGTCTATGGCTTCAGGTTGCTAAGATACCCACTTCCACCCACCTACTGGCTCGCCTAAGCCAAAAGCAACTGTGAAATACCGGTTGGTTCCTGTTAGATTCACCTGAGATCTGGATGGCATCACGGGGGTTATGTAAAGTATGACAAATGACTGGGATCATTGATACATTCACAATGTGTAGATATATACATATATATGTAGAGATAAATATATATATATGTAGAGATATAAATATATGTATAGATATATGTGTGTATATATATATATTTGTAGATATATATATATACTATGTATAGATATAGCTATTTATATATATATATATATATATATGTATACATGTAGATATATATATATATACATCATGCATACATGATATACAAGCCGGTTATGTCAGACGGTTAGCAGCCACTTGTTTACGTGGATGCACATCCCACCTACTGGTTTTCATGATCCAAAAGTCTGGGGTACGTTTCCTCCGCAGGACCCACGACTTCCTCGGCTAGGTTGAGGTAGATCCATGAACCATAACTGGTTGGTGGTTTCAACCTACCCCTCTGAAAAATGATGGATTTCGTCAGTTGGGATGATGAAATTCCCAATATATGGAAAGTCATATAGTGGTTTTAACCATCTTGAAAAATATCAGTCGATGGGAAGGATTATCCCACATATTATGGAAAAATAAAAGCCATGTTCCAAAGCACCAACCAGTAGATGTTTGGAAAAGCTCTTCTGGAAAATCCATGCTGTCCTTAAAACCTGGGACTGGGACACCAGCAGGCTGGTTATGCCTCTTTGGTTTTCCCATTGCTATCCACGATCTAAGGGGCTCATTTGAGGTCACTATGACTGGTTGGTGGTTTTAACCATCTATTGGGAAGGATTATCCCATATATTAGTTTAATAACTATATATTAGTTTTCCATATATTAACAATATTTAAACATGTTTTATTTTCCATAATATATGGGATAATCATCCCAATTGACTAATATTTATCCCATATATTATGGAAAATAAAAAATGTTTGAAACCACCAACCAGATGAAATATGCTAGATCTATGCATCTGTCCATCAATCTGTCTACCAACCCATCTACCTATCTTGCCATCTTTGTATACGTGTCCAATTGAAACATGACGACTGCAGTGAAAGGCACATCATCATGACCCCACTGTTGAACCCACCTAAAATCACCCTCACATGGTGCTATCTACATATTAGATCCTACTGGTGTTTCTCTTTTTACCAAGTTTCAGAACGGAGAAAATCGGACTAAAACCCATGCCGTACATTCGGTACTCTTGGGGCCCCCGTAGCATCCCAGCGACTGCATGTAGTCGGTGATTTTAAAGGCGCGTTTTAGTTTGCGCTCCACCATGCCTTCAAAGAAGTTCCTGTCAGCTGGGCCAGCTGGGGTTGGCCAAGTGGGTCCCCAGAACGATTGAAAAGCCGCAGGTTTTTCAGGAGAAAATGATGAGAAAGTACTGGATTTTGTTTGGTGCGATTTTCAGACCTAGATTTGGTGCGCAGTCTCAGTGGGGAAAGCCAAACACAAATGTCGTTGGTAATAGGGTCCCCAAAAAGGTTGGAAACACATGATCAACATGGAGATTGAGTGTTCGAACGATCCTCAGGGTGATTCTTCCGTCCAATCTTAGAGACCCCGAAAAACATTAAAGTGTTAGCTGGTTTTTGGTCGCTCAAGTACCCATCCAAGACTGACCCAGAGCTTTCTCCGGGGAAATACCACCAACACCCTGTCTTTGGACGATTACCATGACATTCTTCATCGGATTCAGAACCAACCAATTGACTACGTTGGGGTGCGGGACTCAGGAATCACAGGTGGCTAAGAACCTATATATAATTCGGGTATATCCTGTATATATATATATAGCTGGTTTAGCATTCCATTCCTACTATCATACTATCGTTATCATTCTCATTATACTATCGTTATTTCCCATGAATACATATACATACATACATACATACATACATACATACATACATACATACATACATACATACATACATTACATACATACATACATACATACATACATACATACATTACATACATTACATTACATTACATTACATACATACATACATACATTATACACACACCACCATTACATTACATTTACATTACATTACATTACATTACATTACATCACATTACATTACATTACATTACATTACATTACATTACATACATACATACATTACATACATTACATACATTACATACATTACATACATTACATACATACATACATACATACATTACATACATTACATACATTACATACATTACATACATTACATACATTACATACATTACATACATTACAGACATTACAGACATTACATCATTCCTACATTACATACTTGCATGCATTACATTACATGCAAATACATGGCATTCCATGCTGCAATGCATACAACATGCATTAACCTGCATTGCATGGCTTACATGCATTACGTGCATTCATGCATTTCATGCATTACATGCCTTACAGGCATTACATGCAGTACATGCATTCATGCATTGCATGCATTACATTACGTGCTATACATACATTAACTACATTACATACATTACTACATGACAGAAAATTACATACATTCAATCATACATACATCCATCGCAGCATACATTACATACATTACCTTACATACATTACATTACATACATTACATTACATACATTACATTACATACAATACATACATTACATGCATTACATACATTACATACATTACATACATTACATACATTACATACATTACATACATTACATACATTACATACATTACATACATTACATACATTACATACATTACATACATTACATACATTACATACATTACATGCATTACATGCATTACATCCATTACATACATTACATACATTACATACATTACATACATTACATACATTACATACATTACATACATTACCTACATTACCTACATTACCTACATTACCTACATTACCTACATTACCTACATTACCTACATTACCTACATTACCTACATTACATACATTACATACATTACATACATTACATACATTACATACATTACATACATTACATACATTACATACATTACATACATTACATACATTACATACATTACATACATTACATACATTACATACATTACATACATTACATACATTACGTACATTACATACAGTACATACAGTACATACATTACATACATTACATACATTACAAACAAAACATTAATAACACACATAACATACATTGCATACATTACATACATTACATACCTTACATACGTTCCATACGTTACATACATTACATGCATTACAAACAAAACATTAATAACACACACAACATACTTTGCATACATTACATACATTACATACATTACATACCTTACATACGTTCCATACGTTACATACATTACATACATACATACATACATACATACATACATACATACATACATACATACATACATACATACATACATACATACATACATACATACATACATACATACATACATACATACATACATACATACATACATACATACATACATACATACTACATACATACATACATACATACATACATACATACATACATACATACATACATACATACATACATACATACATACATACATACATACATACATACATACATACATACATACATACATACATACATACATACATACATACATACCATACATACCATACATACCATACATACCATACATACCATACATACCATACATTCCATACATTCCATACATTCCATACATTCCATACATTCCATACATTCCATACATTCCATACATTACATACATTACATACATTACATACATTACATACATTACATACATTACATACATTACATACATTACATACATTACATACATTACATACATTACATACATTCCATACATTACATACATACATACATACATACATACATACATACATACATACATACATACATACATACATACATACATACATACATACATACATACATACATACAT